GTTTCGGTTATGTCGGTTTTTCGAGATACTTTGATTCATGATAACAGAAACCTGTGAGACCTGCCGAAGAATATGGAGCTTTAATCTATCGCTTCCAGAAGAGTAACATTTTCTCCAGGAAACATTGGTTTTGCAACATTTGGTGCTCCTCGTCCCATGGAGGTATGTAATGAACAAACCAACTCATAGATGATAACATAAACAAATAGTTTCTCTAATTCCTTCTTTGTGTTGTGTTTTATTCAGACGCAAATCATTAGCGATAACACATGGAAACTAGTTGATGAGATTTGGGATAAAAAGGATCAAAACAGAAGCTGTAATTCAAGTCGAAGAAGAAAAGAAGAAACCTCAGTGTGATCTTCCATCATTAACCCAGCATCGAAGTTTCTAGTCGATGATAAAAGGGGTCGTTTCTTAATTTTAATTTGGTTTTGAGTTGTGGAATCTGCCCTGTTCTGTTTTGGTCACGGTAGTAGTCACACATCCACTTGAAGAGATATTTTCATGCAATAATGGATATGGAAGATGAATGCAAATACTAAAATCCCACACTTTTGGTGGAGATGCTCATGGAAGTTCCATAAGGCAAAAATATAGTTTACAATCCTGCTTTGACGTATAACTTTCTTGGTTGCACAGCACTTGTGGTCTCACTTACATACTCGGGTTTTTATGACTCAGGATGATGTTGATGGAAATGGTTCGATTGATTACATCGAGTTTATTACCGCAACAATGCATAGACATAGGCTTGAAAATAATGAAACCCTTGACAAGGCTCTCAATTTTTTGTTTTTGACAAATATGGTAGTGGGGAAGTAATCTTTGCTTGTTCTAATATGGTTCTTTTCGAGGCAAATAATACATTAAGGCTTAGAGGTAATTGACTTTTTCCAGAAGTATATATTTCAACACCATGAATCCGTCTCACCTTTAAGCCTTACGTTTCCACATTAGGTGTGACTTGCAATTCCACGTTCATCTGTTTTACAATCTCATGTATGTAGAGAAATCTTATAATAATGCTTAGCACTAGCCCAAGACTGTAGTACCCAAGAAATTCGGAATAAACAAAAAAAAAACTCTCTAAATATGATGAAGAAATATTGAAGACTCTTAAAGAATACTTAAAAGACTTTTAGAAAAATGAGAGAACTTATGAACTGGAACACTTTTTGTTAGAATTTTATTTTTATTACTTGTTCAACTTTCTTTTATTTGTTCTTGTATGTTACAA